TCCTTCTCCCTCCTCCTTTTCCTCCTCCTCTTCCTCCTCTTCCTCTTCTTTTTCAGATTTTTAACACTTGTTTATTCATGAGAGTTGCAGAGAGAGAGGCAGAGACATAGGCAGAGGGAGAAGCAGGCTCCCTGTGGGGAGTCCGATGTGGGACTCGAGCCCAGGAACCCAGGATCATGACCTGAGCCAGAGGCAGGCTCACTCAACCACTGAGCCACCAGGAGCCCCTCATTTCTTCTTTAGATACCTGCTGCTTTCTTCCAATCAGAGCTGAAACATGTATGGATCTCTTGAGGTTGATTATCTAGCAGCAATTTCCTTTAATAGTCTATTATTCAAATGGATACAATTTAGAAAGACCAGAATGATGTACACTTGTACACCTACCATGAGATACGTAACCATCCACTTAGGGCTCTGCTTATCTATTCATCAATTCATTCTGATTATTTTCAGTTCAAATTTAGAATTATGGGAATTTTCGTTAACTGTAAAATTTTTATATTTATGTATTTTTGTCTTTTACAGTGAAAATCTTGGGTCCTAGCTACATCATAATTACCCATATGATTTATCTTAAAATAAATGCAATAATTTCAGGGGATCCCTGGGTGGCTCAATGGTTTGGTGCCTGCCTTTGGCCCAGGGCATGATCCTGGAGTCCCAGGATCGAGTCCCACGTCGGGCTCCCTGCGTGGAGCCTGCTTCTTCCTCTGCCTGTGTCTCTGACTCTCTCTCTCTCTCTCTCTCTCTCTCTGTGTCTCTCATGAATAAATAAAATCTTTTTTAAAAATGCAATAATTTCAGGAAATAGATATGATTACTAACAATGTGATGACAGAAACAATTTGAGATTTTTTTTGGTAATACTTTTTGTCCTTAGGATGTATAATATACCTTATAATTACCCAAAGTAATTCCTCTCTGCAAAATTAATCCACAAACTTGATCTGTTAAGTTCACTTGCTTCATTTTCCTTTTGATTTTTAGAACTTGCTTTCTTATTTTTTAGTTTAATTTTATAATTATGTAAAACATGAACTTGATTGCCAAGTCAAGCATGTAGTACAAAAGAAGATTTTGTAAAAGAAGTCTAGTGTCTTCTTAAGTCTCACCCATCATGTTCCCTCCCTCCTTCTGTACATTGCCATTTTACTTCTATGATTTATGTTTTAAATTTATTAAGTAACTAGCTTTTATTTTTTTTTAAATATTTTATTTATTTGAGAGAAAGAGAGAGAGATAGTGAGAGAAAGCATGAGCGGTGAGGGGCATGTTCAGGAGGAGAGAGAGGCAGGCTTCCTACTTAGCAGGGAGCCTGACTCAGGACTCAATTTCATGGCCTCGGGATCATGACCTGAGCCAAAGGCAGACGCCTAACTGACTGAGCCATGCAGGTGCCCCAAAGTAACTAGTTTTTAACATGAGTGTATGTGTATCTGTGTGGCCTCACCTTCTTCCATAAAAGGCGGCATGACTATACACATTGCTCTCCACCTTTCTTTTCTCACTTAACAGAATATTCTAGAGAAAAGTTCCCTATCAGTGTCTATAGATGTTTATCACGCTGCTGCACTGAACTCAGTCGTCACCTACTATGGGCATCTAGGTTACTTCCAGTATTTTATTCTTACCAATGGAGCTACCATGAAGAGTTTTGTGCATGCATGGTCCATTTGGGCCAGTATCTTTGGGATAGATTTCTTAAAGTGGAATTATAGGACAAGGGTAAATGCATAATCATTATGTTAGATATTGGGAAAGTTTCCTCCATATGGGTAGTTAGAGGAAGATAATTCGTTGGACATCTTCTTGAGGATGTTACAAGTGTCTACTCTTAAGAGTTAACATGCCAATATATTTTGGTAAATCATATCACTCAAAACGATTTGATTCTTGTAAAGAAACAATAAAAATAACCATTTCCCAGAGGTGGACGGGCTTACATTTAAAATTTTTTGTTGTTAAAAAATTTTTTTTGTTATTTTAAATTTGTAAATTTACAGGATCCTTCTTGAATGACTTCCAAGGAATCACCAATAAGAATCTATTGTGCAAGAAGAATGGATAAGGTGCTGGGCTAAGTGCTGTGTGGTATAAGAGAAACGTGAGGCATCCTTATCTTGGCTTTCAAGAAGCTTATACTCTGGCTGAGGTGATAAGACTGAAAAATAACTCTAACATAAGATAGTATGTAATGTAGTCAAGTGCGAATTGCAGAGAAATGGCTCCATGGCAAGAGGACATTTCAAGCTAGATTGATTAGGAAAAACTTCAGAGAAAAAGTGGGATTTGACTGGTCGTGGGCTGATGACAGAAGTGCTTCTCACATGTGAGGGCTCTGTGCAAAGGTGGGAAGGGGGCAATGGGCCCATGACATTTGGCAACCAGGTACATTCATGGGGAAAGGCTCGCGCCTGGGGACAGTCCTAGGGACCAGTTGGCTGGGTTGGGAGGAATTGGGAGAGGTTGTTTGGCAGTCAGCTGGAGGCCACTGGGGGCTGTGAGAAGCAGGGTCTACGATCAAACTGGGTTGGATGTTCTGAGGTCGGTGTGCAGAGCTTGGAGTAGGGACAGCTGATAGCTGGTCCACAGAATTGCCTGATCTGATGTACCGGGAAGGAAGGGCACACCTGGAGGCACACGTGAGTGACACTGCAAGAGCCTGCCTGTATGGTGCTGGGAGACAGACTCCAGAGCTGCAGTGTTGATACCTGAACACACCCCTATGGAAAGAAAGATGTTGTCAACTCTGTCTTGCTTGAGCCTGGGTACTCTGTTTGGAAGCAGTGATTGGAGAATTCAGATGGAGCAGCTGTTGATGAGATGGTCTATGTACAACTATGGCAATCACCTGGGTTCCCAAATACCCCCAGGAGTTGATGGAGAAGCCTTCCATGGTGCAGGGCTAGGAACCCTGTCTGGAAGCCATGCTGACCTGCTCCAACTGCACTGGGAGGTATGGGAGTTTTTGCAGTTGAGGTGGACATCCAGCTATCCAACATCATTCCAGCCTATTCTCAGTAACAGTCCTCTTAAAATCTGTCCCTCCTCGACACTGTCCTGGGACCAGGATGAAACTCCATCCTTGCTCCAAGAGGTGGCAAACAACCAGGGATACAGCCCATATAGTATTTCTGTGCAAGTAAGTTGTTCAGGTATGAGCACTGAAACAGTTTAGGATTTTTGTTGAGCCACTGGGGAAGCAGTCCTCTTGGCTCTTTCCCACTGGGGTTGCACCTGAGAGGGTGTAGGATGAAGCCACTGTAGGCATCAAGTCCTCATATGGATCCTGTGAAGCAAGTCACACAGCTAGGAGCTGCTAGCATGTATGTATGTATGTATGTATGTATGTATGTATGTATCTATCTATCTACCTATCTATCATCTATTTATGATAGAGAGAGAGAGAGAGGCAGAGACACAGGCAGAGGGAGAAGCAGGCTCCATGCCGGGAGCCCGACATGGGACTCGATCCCGGGACTCCAGGATCTTGCCCTGGGCCAAAGGCAGGCGCCAAACTGCTGAGCCACCCAAGGATCCCCTAGAAATTTATTTTAAAAATGTTTTGGCATGAAGAGTGCATCGCACATGTGTAGATATCTTCTATATACATTCCAGGGCTTACTAGCTGGCATTTGAAATGCCTCATCAGAAAGCCACACTTCACATGGAGTCACTTTAAACCTTTATACAATTTATCAGTGATGTGAGCAATGTGAAAGACAAGTGAATCTCTAGAAAGACTACGCTCTCCTCTGTCCCCTTTGCATAAACAGAGTATAGAAATCCCACCAGTCTGTTGGCCCAGTATTTGAAGCCAGCTCTTGTGGCCAGTGCCCTTTTCAGAGGATGACATTGTGGGTTCCCCTCAGAGTGAATCCTTTAAGCAAAGTGCTTGCAGAACCTGAAGACAGTGGCAGGGGGCGGGGGGGGGGGGCAATGACACAGCATACAAAAAAATTCTCCTCTGCAGGGGAGGACAACTAATTTTCCCTCTACCCTTCTGGATTCTTGGCTGAGACCCCGGTAATAAAAGATACATTAACAAAAGAAAGACAATCAGAAATTTATCAACATGTATCTCTCAGGTATACATAGAGATAGGAAAAAGAGTAACTCCCAGAGGTGCCTTAGAATTCAGGATTAGAATTCTGGGAAGGGGGAGGGGGAACAGAGGCCTCTTAGTGGGGAGTAAATGGCTTTTAGGAAAGATAAACCGGCCCTTAGAAGAATAAATGGGAAGTAGAATGTTTTGTGATGTTTATCTGGGTGTGGTGTTGATTTTTTTCTCTCCTGTGACAGGAGTCCACCCTCACTGGTTGATGAAACTCCCAGAGAAGGGGTTTATGGCCATTGAGTCTTTTTGGAGACCTGGTCTTCAGGCAGATAAGGGTGTTCATAGAAAGCCTTTTCCTCCAATTGCTGCCTTTCAAGTGTGCCTACAACTCAAAACCATCAACATACCAAAGTGGTCTATTTTGGATGGCATGTGCTCAACTTGTCGTGTTTTGGGATGGCATATTCTGTTACCCCTCAGTTCCATGATTTCCATGCATCTGTATTTGCTAAGCACATTTTCATGTATTTGTCAGGCTCTTCTAGAGAATTTGCTTTCACAGCTACATAGAGTATAACTCTGACTGTGATGGGGGATGCGTATAATCCCATTTACCTCTTACAGCAGGTGGTGCTAGTATTTGCCATTACAACCCTACAAGTGTGAAATGACCAAACTGCCTTCTGAGCTAAGCTGACAGAAATGGAAGAAAACCAGGTTCTGATGACATTCATGAGGTCTGAAATCAACTGTGGCCCCTAGGCTTTTTCAATTATGGAAGCAGCATATTCCCTTTTTGTGTGAGCATTTTTTTTAAACATCTGTGAGAGTCCTAACTGATGAGCTCTTCCTTAATGCTACATACCATAAGACCATAACAACATGGGAAAACACAGCAACACTAAGTCATTCCAGCAAAGACAGAAACATGATACATGGACAAACTCTATCCAATTCATTCCACTTTATTCTGGGATGTAAATTACAGATAACACAACTCACAAACATACTAGTGGACATTGAAAACTAAGGCCATTCTGTGAGTTATTTTTAAAACTTGGTGTTTCATACATAATCTTTTAAAAAATAAATTACTAAAACCAAGATTCTCTTCTGAAATAAAAACTTAAGTACAAGACAATTTTTGGGCCATCTCCAGTCTGAAGCTCATCGCATGACAAGACCATTTTTGTTTCCTATCACATAAATAACAGCACTAAGGCAAAGGCTACCTCAGCAACAAGCTCTCCTCTCCAGATGTCCCCACAAAGTAGTGTTTACCACAGTGACCAGTGTTTACAAGCCATTTTCCTCCCAGTGAGTAGCTAAAAGAGACTTTGACCTAAGGAACACATTGCAGAATTCTTGGAACCAGAAAAAGAAAGGGACCCGTAACTAAGGCACTGAAAGCACATTATTTATATAAAGAAATGTAAACAATTTAATACCAACAGGCTTCCTCCATTAGAGTTTCTATTATAAAAGTGCACAAGGGCATCCTGGTCGGGCCCAGAGCCTGCAGGCCAGGTGCATAGAAGCGTTACCCTTTCTGCAGGATTCGGTCTTGGCCACCAAGGTCCAGCTCCCGAGATGGTGCTGAGGAAGTGATTCATTTCAAAGTGATGTGAGTGGAAGCTGGTATTTCTCCCTAATCTGCGTGTTCATAGTGTAACAAACAAGGAAGAGCTTTAATAGGAGTTTGAAATTACGTGCTCTGTTTAACATTCTTTTTCTTCCAATCTTTTACCATGTTTTCCTACTGATTTGTGCAGTGATTCTGGCCTGCTTGTCAGAGCTGTCTGGTGAAAGAACTTGCAGCCTCATCGGCCCCCTAACTTGTAGTTTCCTATTTTAAGTAGAATGGTTCATGTCCCATATGAACCACACTTGCTTTGTTTGAAACATTTCTGAATGGTAAAGACTGAACAGTTGGACAGACGGTACTGTAAACATTTCACAGTCCACTGAGCCAGTCTTCAGAGGACCGAAAGAGCAGTCAGTGGGAAGTGTGCGTCTGGACGCAGCAGAACAAGGGTTACTCTGAGTCCAGAGAGAGGAGGTGGGAAGGTGTGGAAGGGGTCATTTCTGAGGCCGATCACAACATTAAAGTTAAATTAACTTCTACTTGACATTTTGTTACCAATTTTTACAAAGCTCTAAGTTCCAAATCATCCGCTGAGTAGTTCTTTAAAAAATTTTTAAAAGAAAAAGGGAGATATGTAGGAACATAAATAATTACAACTTTTGAAAGAAGCCTTACTGCAAAAACACAAAGACCCCAAAACACAAAACCAGAAAACCAAACAAAAAGAAGCAACTTTTTTAGTTTTGAAGTTATCATTTCTGATTCTGAAAGCAGGTACGATGTCTGTATTCCCCTGTAGAGTTTTGGTGCATATGAATTTTGGGTAGGTAAAACAAAGTTTGCATTTTATCATGAACATGTCTTTTATGATCAAAAGAGAACATTTTTTTAAAAAGGAAAGAAAAGAGCTTTCCTCCTGTACTGGCTTCATGCTCTTCTACGGAGGTCACACATGAACAAGCATCCAAGGAGCTGGAGGAAGGGCGCTGGACACACTACAGCATAGACATGTGTGGGACAAAGGACACGGCATTTCCCCTTTGCCCAGGACAAATGCAGGACTGATTATACAATTCCGTGTTTCCAAATATAACCAAAATTATAGGAGGTCTGACAGAAATCTAAATTAGAAACCTCTTTTATTCGAGGGGGAAAAAAAGGTTAAAGAAGAAAAACACCTCAAGAACCATGGGATTAAAGAGCTGGGGATGGAGCAGGCCTGCATAACAACTAATTAGTAGCTCTTAGCAGGAGTGAAAACAGCCCGGGAAGCGGGGAGTGGTTCAATAGAGGCTGGCGCCCTAGGTGCGGCACTAGCTAGTTCTCTTCCTCTGAGCCAGCGATGGCAGTGCATGTTTCAAATGTTGGGTAAAAGTCATTGTTGAGCAAAAATGGGTTGTAATTAAGGAGAAGGCATTTGTGCCAAAAGGGTACATAAAGCAATAGCTTCTGAGGCTGGTTCAAGGCAGGAGTAAAGTGGACAAGTTTGCTAACAGCTAAAGACCTTTAATTGCCTATTTTCTGTGACTCTGACCAGTGTCTCCACTGTATGATAAAAACAGTGGTACACAGCTCCAGCAGGGTGGAAACAATGACCACGATTTTTCTGCCTCAGAAGGACATGGGTGCTGTTGGTTTGCCGGATTTTCCATGGACTCCAAATGTCAGGAATATTTAGGCAAACAACTGATTGGTCAAAAGTGGATTAAAATTTTAGTACTGAAACAGGAAGGACTAAAAAGACAGCGAGCCCTCGTTATCATTAAAAAGGGGTTCATTTTTCCTGTTACTTTAGTTTTTAGAGTAAAATCTGTCAAGGCTGCAAGGGTTGAATAATTTAGGCTAAGCCATTACTGCCCTGTCTGCAAGCGCTGTTGCTGTTGTTTTAATGGCAGATGTTAGATACCCATGCACGTACAGAAAATACAATAACCTTCCTTTTTGGGCCAGGTTTTAAAGAAGTATTTCAAAAGACACAACTTTAAGAGTTTGCAGTAACAGAACCTTCCACACGTTCCTTTAGAAAGGTAAGTGACTTGATATAGACTGTTTTTAACGCAGAAAAAGCTACACCTGCCAACGAGCGCTGGGCACGCAAGAGTAAGTACAAGTGAAGAACTAAACTGTCTTAATTCCAATCTGTAAAAATTCAAACTAAGGTTTCTAAGTGGAGAGCCTGTGGTTGCTCCCTGAGAAATGTCCAGGTCTTACTATATCCATGGGATGAAAGGGCACAGGTGGTCTTCTGATGTCTGGGGGACTGCAAGGCTAACTGCCCGGGTTTTATGAGTAATGAAGAACTTCCTATCGAAATGGGTGCTGGGTGCATGGCTGAAGGACGAGAGATTTCTGTTTTCTGGCCTTAGGGAAGGATGCAATGGTTTGATTGGTGTAGAAAAGCCTGTGGAGAGTGCTGGGGGAGGGGCCGGGAGGAAAGGCCCTCACTTCCACAGTCAGGTGCTGGCACTTGATTTGAGCCGCCCCAACCCCAGACCTGCTTCTGGTCTGGGGAGTTTGTGAGGAAATGGGATTGGGCCTTTAAGAAAATCTTGTGGTACCCTGTCCGTTAACAGCCCAGTGGTTGCTTAGTGATACTCTGGCCCTAGTATTTTATAGCAATTGCTCCCTGCTACGTATTGAAATTACATTCAGAGATTTAAAAAGAAATCGTATGTGTAGCAAGATTTTCCCACAAAACTAAGTGCAAAATATCTTTAACAAATAATGATGGTAGTAGAAATATTTGACATAGTCATGCAAAAATGCATCTCCGTTTACAAAGGCTCAACACATTTCCAAAATATCCCCTTGGCTATCACACTGTGAACCTCATGATCTCACTCATTTTTCTTCGCATTTAAATGCGGCTGTTTGTGAAAAAACCGGTAACATGCAAGTTCAATGATCTCCAGTCCACCAAATATTCTTTCTTGCAGCACAAAGATAACAATGGTGATGATAAAATACCACCGAACAAGACTGTAGAGATATATGAGGAGGCACATTGCAGGGCTGAATAGGGTCCAGTAAAGTATGGAGAGCAATTTGACCACCAGGACCCTGAGTTCAGTCTTGCAAGGTGGAATTACAGTCTGTCCGGTAAAGTGAAAATTCTTCTCCCCTTGATAGAAGGAGCGCAGCCTCTCTTCCTTTTCCTCCCACCGTTTGTGGCACCAGAGCTGGAGGTCCTCTGCGGATGCGGGGAGGGCACCTACTGGGTACCTGCGCACGTGGAAGTGGATCTCCTTGGGGAAGTCTCCGAGGAGGAGGTGCCTCTCTGTCTGAGGAATATTGTGAGGGTACGCCACCGTGATGTCATGGACAGCATCAAGGTTCCTACCTAGGTTTTGGAGAAGATAAAATTACAGACCGAGTAATGATCAATGGGGGGCAGTAAGGCTGATTCAAACTACCAGGCAGACCCAAACACAGGGGGAAAAATCAGGACATAGTGAGCCACGGTAAACAAACGAGGGTTATAAATACTGGTGTTCCCAGGCATTTGGGTAAATATTTACCAGTCATCTTCAGTTTTATCTGCTTGCTAATGACCATGAAGACCTTTAGAAAGAAATTATCTTCATTCATAGAAACAGTAACCTTCCATTCTAGGAAATGGATAAGCACACATTAAGTCAGGTTTGAGACAGAAATAAAAGAGCATAGGACTACCCCTTTTATACCAGCGGGAGTCACCTCTTATTAATAGACCTTTTCTCCAAGTAAAAACAAACTTTCTCACCTTTAACCGGTTACTACTACAAGAACTAGAAAGGACTCAGAATTCGACTTAGTAAAGTGACCAGAGACACATGAAAACCTCTATATGATTTTTTAATTTTTAATTGCTTTTCTGTGATTAAAAAAAAGTTGTTTTTTTTTAAACCTAAACCACTTAGTCTGAGTAAGACCCTAACCCAGTATACCATCATCCTTAGCAATCTCCCAATTAATTACTTTGGGGTTAAGTGTTTTTTAGCAAAGACACAGGCCAGATGCTGGAGACAGATGGATAAAACATGGTCTCTAACCTCACTCAAGAGAATCAGGGAGACAGGCATGCATAGTGTCCCCTAAACAAGGCAGACTGCACAGGTAAGGGGAACTGGCTAGGCAGGTGGATCAGGTGCAGAGTGAATGTCTTGCAGAGAACACAGTGGGGCTGAGGGCATCAGAAGTACCCTGCAGGCACACCTCCAGTAGAGGTCTTCACTGTCGAAGTTGAGAATTTGAACTCAATTCTGTGAGTGACAGAAAAGCACCTTAAAAGGTGGAGAACCACGTAATGATTTTAAACAGAGAAGGGAACAGAGTATGTTTCATTTTAGCAAGCATTACCTCAGGGGCAGTGACAAGAGTGGTCTAGAGAGGACCACGGGCAAGAGTGGTAGTAAGAGTAATCTGATGATCATGACAAGTCAAATAATGAACGCAGGGACAAAGGAAGTGACACGTCTAAAAAAATTACATGGGAGAACTGACATGACAGCTATTAACTGGATGTGAGAGGATAAAGTGGAATAAATGAACTCAAATTTTCTGGCTCAGAGTACTGAGTGAATGGTGATGTCTTTGAGATTAGAAATATAAGTGGAGTTTAAGATTTTTAGGGAAACATGAGGATCACCCAGTTGAATCCTGTATACAAGGCCCAGAGTAAATTTTTCATCCACGGCACACAGCAGGTTGGTGCACAATCTCTGAATGTTACTTTCTTCCATACCATACTCTTTTCAGTGAGAGCCCTTTCATACATGATTTGTGATAAAACTATATGATGCAGGCAAAATTAATCTGTGGGGACAAAAATCAAAACAGTGGTTGCCATGGATGGTGAGAACTGATTAGGAAGGATCATGAGGAAGTATTCTGGGTGGGAGAAAAATCCTAGATCTTGATTAGGGTTTGGATTACATCAAACTGTGTAAGAGTGCATCTCCATTTATATTTTACTTCAATATTACAAAGCCACTTCTCCTCTCTATCTCTCCATGTGTACTCTTCCCACTGACAGGTTGTGTTTAAAAAAAATTTTTTTTTTACATTTAAGTTCAATTTAATTCACATCTAGTGTATTATTAGTTTCAGGGGTAGAATTTAGAGATTCATCAGTTGAATAATACCCAGTGCTCATTCCATCAAGTGTCCTCCTTAATTTCCATCACTCAAGTCCCTTCTGGCAACCCTCAGTTTATTTCCTAGAGTTAAGAGTGTCTTATGGTTTGCTTCCCTCTCTGTTTTTATCTTATTTTTCCCCCTTCCTCTATGTTCATCTGTTTTGTTTCTTAAATTCTGCATATGAATGAAATCATACAGTATTTGTCTTTCTCTGATTTCGCTTAGCATAATACCCTCTACTTCCATCCACGCTGTTGCAAACAGCAAGATTTCATTCCTTTTGATGGCTGAGTGGTATTCCACTATATATATTACATCTTCTTTATGCATTCACCTGTCGATAGACATCTGGGTTCTTTCTACGTTTTGGCTATTGTGAACCTTGCTGCTATAAACACTGGTATGCATGTGCCCCCTTCAAATTACTATGTTTGCATCCTTTGGATAAATAACCTAGTAGTGCAATTCCAAGGTGGTAATGCAGCTCTATTTTTAACTTTTTGAGAAACCTCCATGCTATTTTCCAGAGTGGCTGCACCAGTTTGCATTCCCACCAACAGTGTAAGAAGGTTCCCCTTTCTCTGCATCCTCACCAATGTCTGCTGTTTCCTGAGTTGTTCATTTTAGCCATTCTGACTAGTGTGAAATGGCATCTCATTGTGGTTTTCCCTGATGCCAAGTGATGTGGAGCATTTTTTCATGTGTCTGTTAGCCATCTGTATGTCGTCTTAGAGAAATGTCTGTTCATGTCTTCTGCCCACTTCTTGACTGGACTGTTTTTTGGGTGTTGGATTTGGTAAGTTCTTTACAGATTTTTTGGATACTAGCCTTTTATCTGATAAGACATTTGCAAGTATCTTCTCCCATTCTTTAGACTGCCTTTTAGCTTTGTTGACAGTTTCCTTTGCTGTGCAAAAGCTTTTTATCTTGAAGTCGTCCCAGTAGTTCATTTTTATTTTTGTTTCCTTGCCTTAGAAGACATGTCTAGCAAAAGTTGTATCTGAGGTCAAAGAGGTTGCTGCCTGTGTTTTCTAGGATTTTGATGGATTCCCGTCTCACAAATGTGAGTTTATTTTTGTGTAAGAAAGTGGTCCAGTTTCCTTCTTCTGCACATGGCTGTCCAATTTTCCCAGCATCATTTGTTGAAGAGACTTTTTCCCATTGCATATTCTCTCCTGCTTTGTTGGAGATGAGCTGACCATAGATCTGAAGGTCCATTTCTGGGTTCTCTATTCTTTTCCATTGATCTGTGTGTCTGTTTTTGTGCTAGTACCACACTGTCCTGATAATTAAAGCTTTGTAATACAGCCTGAAGTCCAGAATTGTGATGCCTCCAGCTTTCAACATTTTTCAACATTCCTTTGGCTATTCAGGTCTTTTCTGGTTTCACACAAATTTAGGGTTATTTATTCCAGCTCTGTGAAAAATGGTCTTTTGATAAGGATTGCATTTAATGTGTAGATTGCTCTGGGTAGCAGAGACATTTTAGCGATATTTGTTCTTCTAATCCATGAGCACATAATGTTTCTCAATCTCTTTGTGTCTTCTTCAAGTTCTTTCAAAAGTGTTCTATAGTTTTCAGAGTACAGATCCTTTTACGTCTTTGGTTAGGTTGGTTACATTCTTTTTTTTTTTTTTTTAAATGATTCTTTAAGTCTTCTGTACATGTCCAACTATCTGTCTACTCCATGATTTGCTTCAATCCAGGTTTGGATTTGGTTTCATAACTGTCTTATAAATATAATCAGCCCCTGACAAAGACTGTAGTCTGAAAAATGAAAACAGCTATGTCAACAAGACTTAGATTTAAAATTGGAAGGACAGTCTTGCAGGGATGCTGAGCATTGTTTATATGAGAGTGGAGGTGGACGAAAGGCCTGTGCAGGGCATGGCTGTAGTGGAGGCAGATCTGAAAGCTTCAAAAAAAAGGTGAGGCTGGACCTTTTTGACTCCAGCAGGAAGTTCACTTTGTCTCACAGTGGAGGAAATGTCACTTCCTGTCACTTGTCGTGCCACTTAGTCTCTTATTCAGAACTGAGTGCCTGTCTTATCTACTTTCCAAACTCTGCTGTAATCAGTATTTCTGCTTCACCTTCTGCCCAGACCCTTCTTCAAAAGGGCTGCTAGTCTCATCCGCCTTACTGGTCCACAGCCCAGGCTTGCCCACTTCCCCAGGCCACTCCCACCATTCTCCTGTCACACCACATCGCTTCACATAGCTCCTCCTCTGCAGCAGTGAGCCAGCCTTCTTCCACAGGTGGTCCTTAATGCTAATGAACAGCTATCAAAAAGGACAGGACTACACTAGTAAGAAACTAAATTGCTTTTGCTTTCAACTCTCTTCTGGATAACCTGTAGGGAATGGTTTGACACAATGTGAACATGTGTCTGTTCAGGATGTAAATGGCAAGTTTTGAGACCCGTGTGAGTATCATTTATAATAGAGATGTTCCTAAGTGAAAAATTCTAGAAACACTGCCATGCAGAGCATGGTGGGATGTGGAAGCAGACAGCCCGCATTCAAATCCTCGTTCTGCCTCTTAATGACTTGTCTTAGACTTGCTTGGTTCCTGTATCTGCAAACTACCTCACAGGGTTGTTGTGAGCACTAAACAATACATATAACAATATATAAAATAGGGTCTGATACATAGTAAGCATGTGATAAATGTTAACTGCAAACAGTGATTACTGAATCACAATGCTAGCATTGGGCTCTAATCTGTCCCTCTAACTTTAGCCTGTATTAGCTCACCAACGCAGCATGGTATTTGCAGGGGGAAAACCTCATTCACATACCTTCTCTATACTACTGTCCAGGGTGTTATTCACCTGAGTCCTGAAGATGCCAATCAGGGACCTCCTGCCTTCTACACAAGTCAAGCATTCGAACTGCCACTCCACAAAACTGCCAAGAATATTCCCTCTGCCTCAAATATACAGTCTTTTCCCTGAAATCTTTTCTCTACACTCTAAGGTCTACCTGTAATCTCAAGAAGATTGCATTCCAAGAAGAGCTTTCTTCAAGTAATGGGTCCAGAATGGTCCTGCTCTCTGGCATGCTCAGGACACATATGTTGTGTGCTTGTTTGGGCGCTCGTCTGCCATCCTGTCCTCTCTTACTGGAAGCTCACAGGAACCCAGTCTCCCAGGGCGTCATAAATACTTGAAAGGGAAAGGACCATATCTCTGCTTTGGATCCTAGGTACCGAGTACAATGCC